TTCTCCACATTTTCATTCTCCCCGTCGAGAATAGCCATGTGTGTGCCCGAGTTTCTTGCTTGCATGACCTCCAATAGTAGGGGAAGATTGGAAGATTGTGATAAGAATCCTTATAAGTTCCAAACCTCATCTCCAATGCTTTATGTTTACCTCGTCGTACGATATCTCATATGCGTACTCTTTTTCTACGTCATGCATTATTGTGAAAGGCGACAAAGGTGTTTTTCTAACCACTTTTGAATAGACCATTTGTGCCACAAATGCGGTTGTCATGTTCTCCAACAAACACGTATGATGCTTAACCCTTGAAGCTACCCATAAATTTTTATTTTGAGGCTTGTAACCATGCACTCTCCAAGGACATCCAGGCTTTGTGCACTTCACGTCATACGTCGTCTTATTTGAAACCTTCACCCTAAACTCATGCTTCTGCAGAAATGCCAACCTCTTCACCACATCTTGTAACTGACCTTAGTCATGAAACATCTGTCCAACTCTTACCTGCTTACAATCATAACACCAGTGGGCATCTAAACCATCGTTAACCCTCAGACGACTCATCGATATGGTCATCCAATCATCGGGTATGTTGGTTTCGTTGTCCAACTCTGTTGTATCTTGGCCTTCCACGTATTCCTCGTTTTCCAATTTCATATGATCCATTGCAGCGTCATTCTCCTCCACTGCGTCAACAGGCAAAAGCGAATCCGGTTCATTGTCGTCCGAGTCATCGACCGAACTATTACTTTCACGAACAATGACCTCTGCCCATGCATTAGCCTCTACTACCGCTTCCCCTTGACCTTGAGCAGTCCGCCAAACATTTTCCGCTTGTGCACCTCCTATCGGAGTTTCTTCCACCTCAGCATGACTTGACTCGCCCGATCGATCAACATATGTTGTCTTCTGCCAGGCTATACCCTTTCTCCCTTACTTTAGTAACAAAATTCCTCCAACTCCCAGTTGATGCAACCTCCACTACTCTCCATTGCTATCCATGTTGACCCCTTATTGGCCACACGGTTTTTATGACAAATTTCTGCAACACTGGATCTACCCCAAACATATTATACAACGACCCTAACACGTCGTTCAAACCCATATGCTCCGGTGCATTCATACTAGTATGAACAAAGGCATATAAGGTCAAATCCACCCTGCTATCACATATTTGTATGGGAGTATCGCCATAATACAAACGAATTGGCATATCACCTGACATCCTGATAAAACTTGACACAAAGTCTTATTATAGGATACTAACCGTCAACTATCTTCACCTAACGTACCTTAATTTAAGACATCGATGATTACGATATTAGAACTAATTGTACATTGCCATCTACTAACTTAGAACTAATACTTACAAATAGCTAATTTAATAATCGTACTAAAATATACTAACTTATACCTATTTTAACACATAACAAATTAAATGTATGTACTACCATATACTAACTTAGAACTAATTTTAGCATACGATTAATTTAATATCTCTACTAACATTTAACAATGACAAATGTTAACAAATCGTACGATATGTACTAACATTGAACAATGCGAAACAATTAACAAATCACAAGTCTTATTCTTTCTGAATAAAAAATCATAGGCCTCATACTTAGGGATTAGAAATTTATACCATCACATCGCTGCTTCCGGCTGTCATCTTCATTTCCTCCCAGTCGGCGCCGCCCGGACCTTCTCTCCAGCCGGCCACAGCCTCCCCTCACTCCCTCCGTTGTGCCCGGTGACGGCAAAGGCAGTGATGGCAATGTGGTCCTCACGAAAACAATTTTGACGGCACTGGGCTGGGCCACACGATTTAAAGGGCCCAGTTGAACGCCCATTGTTCGACAGGAGCGGCGATGGGGGGTGGAGGGGGACCTGTCGAACTCCCGGTGTTCGATAGGCTGTGCGGCGCTGGGTGATGGACCCAGTCGAACACTCGTTGATCGATAGGAGCACCTGTTGACCTACTGTGGTTCGACAGGCCGCACTCGAACGTTAGCCGTTTGATAGGTCACCTGTCGTTCCTCCCCCGTTCAATAGGCATCTATTTTGCGAATTTTCGCCGGCGCCCACTAATTTTGTGATTTTCCATCAAATTAATATTATTTCAAAAAAAATTTCTCACCACAAAGGGTTGCCGTTTATCTGTACTAAAGTGTAGTATGTAGATATTATATAATATTAGGCCATGTCTTGTGCAAGTTAAGTTTATGTCATGTGCAAGTGTAGATATCTGGTAATTATGAAAAAAATCACATAACTGATAGTCAACATGACTATTTTGTTTTTTTGTCTAGTTTCTAAGGGTTAATTGGATCTACGCCATTGAAAATTTTATGGTTTTGAAATATACCATTACTATTTACTCCCTCCATTCCAAATTGATCTAAATATTTCATAGGTACACTAAGACCAACAAAAGCTAATAACTCCCTCATACTATATTTACTCTAGCAACAAACTCGATGCATGCACCACTATTTCCTAGCCAATAGCAAATCAAGATATTGCATGGGGTTATAAATATTTGTGTGCATGGATGCATGCATCAATGTCCGTTTACTCCAATGCACAAATAACGAATAGACTTAATAAATGAACACAAATATGTAGATTATTTAGGAATAACCTAAAAAAACTATATGTAGATCAATTTGCAATGGAGGGAGTACAAATTTGGAGTCATGCCATTGCAATTTAACAGATATTTAAGAAATGCCACAACATACCCCTTCCATACACTAAAATGTATTTTTGGACCAAATTGCCCATTATCTTCTTCCTCCATCCCACTTCTCTCCCCATTCTTTTTCCTCCTATTCTCTCTAGATCTGACTTCCCAGTGCAAGCGCAGTGGAGAGGTCCGGTGGGCAGCACCGAAGAAGTCAAGCCCTGCTGCTGGCACCGTGCATGGATGAAGAAAAAAGAGAAGACAAAAAATGCATGAATAAAAGAACACATCTCTGCATTTGCTGCTAGTCCTATGTGCAACTAGTATGAAACGAGCTTCAAGGACACATCAGCGGAAGTGATGGGGAACTTGTGTTTCCAGCAACAGGTCAAGCTTCCTAGCATACAGGATCACTTGGGTGCAGCGGCCGCCACCAAGGTCGTCGTGCTCCTCGCCGAGCGGGTGCTTCGCCGCGCCCATCGGAGGATGGGAGGAGCCAGGAGGACACCCGTTTTAGATACTGCTACTGGTCGGGTCAATGCTGGATCCAACCCTGCCGGCCACTGCCGGCTCTAGCTACAAATCCAGAGATAGATAGGAGGAAGGGGAATGGAAAGAGAAGGGGATGGAGGAAGAAGATGGGGTCAATTTGGTCCAAAAACAAATTTCAATGCACGGAGGGGGTAATCAATGGCACATCTCACATATGAGTTAAATTGTAATGGCATGAATCTAAATAGACAAATACTAGTGGCATATTTCAAAACTGTAAAAATTATAATGGTATAGATCCAATTATCCCAGTTTTTAATCATATATGCCATGATTTTGAAATCAAGATCTCTGACTCTAGCTAATATGGAAAAAGAGTATACGCTAACCAACTTAATCCATAAATTTAACTTGTGCATATAAGAAAAGGTGGATAATAAAGCTTAGACTTTAAAACTAATATGAGACAGCTCATTTGGTCAGCGTACGCTTCCCCACGTCTATACGTACGCTTCCGCACATTCACTCAAATTTCCCTATGTCTACCAGTTGCGCCATTGCATCTATCAGTATTTACGATCGAATTAGCCATCTAAATATCACATTTTCTCAATGCTACGAACCTGAAAAATTAAGTAGACGATTTGATTGGAAACAATTTATTAGAAATAACATGGCAAAGTGAAGAATATAGAAAAGACAACAAAGTGAAACCATCTGCACTAAAACAAACAGGTGGTACCAACCGAAAGAAATGAAGGAGAAATTACCAATATAAAATCTAGCAGTTGAAATTATTTTAGATAAAGAAAGTTCTATTAGTCTTTGACCATTACAACAAGGTAATATAATTAATCTAAGAACACTCCCAGCATGTATATATTTAGGATGGATATAGCCTATAATTTAGAAAATGAACAAAAATGAATAACAGCCTGAAAACAAGATTCATGCCGTGGTGAGCTACAAGCCTACAACTGATAGATGATCTTCATGTTCATTCACTGCCATAGCAACGAGAATAATGTCCCTCCAAATGCAACAGTTTCACAACACAATGACACATGCACGTCACATGTCCCTCCAAATGCAGCAGCTGCACAACACAATGACACTGTCATCAAATTACTCAAACTCCAGATAATTCCTTCAAAATGAAAACATTGCTAGGTAACTAGCTAGCTGGAAAGTGATACAAGTCAAGGTAACTGGTTAGGAAAATGATACAAGTCACATAATCAGGTAAGAGTTACAAGAGATGCGACTATTCATTGCAGTAGTTCTGTGGATGATAAGGTAGCTGCATAAAAATAATCCAGGTCAGCGTATGCTTATGTGGAGGGGAGAGAAAAGAGGAGAGCAAGCTGATCGAGCTCCCATACAAGAATCAAGGCATAGCACATGAAAATATATAGGAGTTATCGCTAGCCAATAATCGATGCAGGTGATTTTATATATATTCACGCATTTCGTGGACCTTCTTATGATTTCCTCGATCTCATGTGGTCAATCCTCACATCGGGTCACCTCGTTTTTCTGTTATGGGTGTGAGTAACCTTGATCTCGATCACTCTTCAATTTGGAGAAGATGAATGCTTTTATTGACTAAATGATTTTTTATTACCTTAAAAAATTTATCTGAATTCTCCTTGTGAATATGCTGTAGCAGACTCGTGTTGTTTTACCGTAAAAGAAAATTGAACTGACTAGATCGGCCGAGCAATGCACATACTCAGTCCAAACAGACTGTGATGGATAGAGACCACAATATTATCCATGCATATCCCTTGGTTTATAATTAATGCCGATTGAAGAGCAAATACAGTTGACTTTTAAAATCGAAAGTTGAAAACTAAACAATAAATACGTTTACAAAGTCAGACCAGTAGTTTGTCAGCCACGAAATTAGCACCAAAAATATTAATTAATAAGCCCCAGTCTCTAGGAGTTAAAATAAGCCAGCCACACCAGATTTCTCAATATAAACGAGAATGCATTGTGAAAATATCTCATTGGTGTTATGCTCCACCTTACACAGTGCAAGGTAGGATCAGGATTTCTTTGGAAGCCCTTGTAGGAAATGAAGATCGAGCACGACCTCCACATGATCAAGGGGGATGGAGACACAAGCTACGCCAGGAACTCTAGTACCCAAGTTTGTACCAACTAACCCTTTCGCCCCAATTAAAATTTGGCACATCTTATATATTTCTTTCGTTTTACTTTCGCTGAATCACATGCTATAACATATCATGTGCACTGAGTAATAATTTCACTCGTTGGTGTATGACCAGTACACAAATACTTGACGAGTACAGGTATACAAAATATGTTGGAAGTTATGAAGTATACATTGCATTGGATGTGGCAAAATAGTATTTCTTCACAATTTTTTTGCATGTGCATTTGTTATTTGTTTATGGATTAGCTAGTAATAACAACATTTAGACTTGCTCATGAAATTAAGAAGTACTAGCCTGTTCGATATCTATGCTCATGAAATTTAGTAATAACAACATTTTAATTTCTATGCTCGTGCATGCATGTGTGATAGAGAAAAGCCATTCTCGCGACTAAACATATGGTTGAGAAGGCCATGAAAGGAGTATTCATGGAACTTAAACCGCAGTCAATGGTCGTCGCTGACCTAGGCTGCTCCTCTGGTACAAACACACTTCTCTTTATATCTGAGATGATTGCCATGATAAGTGAAGAAAACACAAGCGACAATAACATCAGGAAGTGCCCCATGGAGGTCCAATTCTTCCTCAATGACCTACCCAGTAACGATTTCAACCACATCTTCAAGTCTCTTGGGCAGTTTGAGCAATCAATAGTGCAAGATTGTGCTCGCATAGGGCTAAAACCTCCTCCACACTATGTTGCCGGCGTGCCAGGATCCTTCTACACCAGGCTCTTTCCTTGCAATAGCGTCCATATATTTCATTCATCCTTCAGCCTTATGTGGCTCTCTCAGGTATATCATATTATTTTTTGGATGAATTCTCGCATCTCAAGTAGTAGTGTGCATTACCATATTCTCATATAAACAAAATTTTGATATTTGAGGTTTTTATGATCTAGACTTGACTGGCTAGCAATGGTTGTTTGGACAGATCCCAGAGCATCTTGACAGCACCATGAACAAAGGCAACATTTATATAGGGGTGACTACACCGCCACTTGTAGCCAAGCTCTATCTTGATCAGTTCGAGAAGGACTTCTCTCGGTTCCTTCAGTTCAGGTGCATAGAGCTTGTGTCTGGTGGCCAGATGGTGTTGACATTTCTTGGAAGGAAAAGCAATGACGTGGTTCATGGGGGTGGGATGATGAACATTTCCATCGAGTTGCTTTCACAGGCAGTGCAAACTCTTGTAGCAGAGGTATGGCTACTGATGTGGTACAATATTTTTGTGTAAATTACTATAGCTTACAATAAATTATACCTCCCAGTATGTTTCTATGGACCACAAAATCACTTACATTAAAGGACAAGATTTACTGGGAGAATAAATATTTCCTGATTCTTCATTATCTTACACAATAGGGTCGTGTGGAGAAGGAGAAGTTGGACTCTTTCAACCTGCCATTTTATGGCCCTTCTGTGGATGAACTGAAGCAGCTAGTACAACAAAGCGAGCTGCTCGACATCATTGACATCCAGGCCTTTGAACTGACTTTTGATCCCATAGACAAATCAGAGCTGAAGGAAGGCATCACCACCGCACCAGCGATACAAGACAATGTTCATGAGGCCACCGGCCATAACATCGCTGCGGGTTTAAGAGCGGTGATGGAGCCGCTATTTGCAAGCCATTTCGGGGAATCCATAATCGACGATCTCTTCACGTTGTTTGCATGTAATGTCATCAGACATCTTGCGAGTGCAGAGGAGATGAGTAGTGTGACAGCCATTTCATTGTCATTACAGGCAAAGGTGGCAAGGTGATAGCTCATTGGGTATCATACCCATCTTTTCTATATAGTTGCAACCCATGCAATTGCTACTACAAAGGAGCTACCACATTGAGCCAAGTCATCATCAATTTGTCACCCATTAGATTTCATCATGACGTTGAGCAGTTCATTTCAGATGACATTACTCATTTATTTGCTACCCACATGTACTTACCACGTTTGTCGAGAAGTAAGCACACCCTTTAGTGTGGTCCCAAATTTCAATAGAAATAATATTCTACTTGACATATTTCTACATATACAACTATGAAAACGATTTATCTATACTAACAAACTTCACAGAAAAATATTATTTTAAAATAATATTAAAATAACATTCACCCGTCGCAACGCATGGGTATTTTTTCTAGTAAAAACAACTATAACAATATTATTAAAATAGCATTCTTTTTTTATAGACATTGCTTTTTTTTTAATCAAGTTCACAATATTTCCGACACTTGCTTGTCCTGGAAGTAAAAACAACTTGTAACAACATCAAGTTGATTGGGATCTGAACTCTTAATGGAAATAACCAAAATCTTTCTGATAAGGACCTGGATGTTGAAAGCTGTAAAACTAACGAAGCCAAATTCATCAATGAGCGGAGCAGCTGTTTGATTCCCCCACAAGGAACTTTATGATTCTTCTCCTGTTTCTTTTTTGGCTACAAAGAAACAATTGGTGAAGAAACAAGGAAGCAACAGAACAACAAATTAGTGTTTTTTCAAATACCATATGGTGATTTAAACATGAGATCTGGAAGGAGCTACCCAAAAATTTGAACCAATCGACAGTAAACAACCACTAATATATACGAGCTGATAATTATTGCGAGGCACAAAGATGACATGCCCAAGTTGTCAATCGCCATCCACGGCATCATTTCTTCTGCAAGAAACTGATAATGGAAGCAATAATCACTAATCTGCAACCAGCAAATTTGGATACAGGTGGCATTCAGAAAATCAATCAAAGTCCAAGCTGCAATTCAGATATACTTATATATATATCCTACCGGCGGAAAACAAATCACAATGTGCCACATTCTGATTAAAGCGTATGCATATAGACCAGACGAGCCGGCCAATAATTGGTTTGAGCCATCAACTTTTATTATCATTGATTTAGTTAAGATTTCAAATTAACATATTAATTACAATTAATATGTTAAAAAATGAAAGCTTATCTAAATCAATAATAAAAAAAGTCATGATTTATGAAAGGCAAGATTTATAAGTACTATCATGAAATAACTAAATGGGCAACTTGACATCAATTAATCATGGTAAAAAAGTGCTTACAGATACACGTAAGCACTTTCTATTTCAAGTATACATTTCAAGCACTCATCAATTAATCATGCTAAAAATAATGATTAATGGCATTCTATATAAGTTGTTAATTAGAAACACCGAATCTGTAGTTCAATGTGTGCCTGCGGCCAAATGGTTTCACGATGTGAACGGTGAACTAGCGGAGCGGCAGACCGTACGTGATGGCGTGGAGCAATCAGATGGTTGTAAGATCTCACTCTAAAGACTATACATGGCATATGGCGTACATACATAATTAAGTTTGGCCCTAATTGAGATGGCCTCAAGTTTCTCCCACCGCCCCTTGCCCATGCCCTTAAGTGGGGGATTGCTGATATGCACACTACTAGACAACTGATTTTCATTGTAGTACCGAAAAACACAAATATCTCAGATCTATTTTTAACCAATACTAAAGATATATTTTTTAGTACTGGTTAAAATGCCCAACTGTACATTGCAATCTTTAGTTTCGGTTGATAATACCAACCAGTACTAAATATCATTTTTAGTCCCAGTTCAAATATTGTAAGACCGTGTCAATCAAGCTGAAGTTGTCAATGGATCAAATATTTTGCGAAATATCAAAATGATCTGATTTTAATATTTTACGCAATTTTCTTCTCCTCCGGAAACAAGATGTGTGTGGGCTATTTTCGTCATTGGATCGAAATAGTGCATGTATTAAAAAAAACCCCAAATGGCCTAAACATATGGAAATTTCAAGATGTTTCCGGTATCTTCTCCTAAGTATATGATACAGAGAGAGAGGGAACAAACAGAAGAAAGAGGAGGCTTCTAGTGATTTCTCTTAAAAACATATAGTACAACTTAGCTATATTTATAGTTGTCTAGGACAATCGATACTTTGTAAACAAATTAACTTATATTAAAACCTTCTTAAAAGCTAAGGTAAACTAATAGACCATATACAGAAGTTCTTAAACATGATCAAAAGTCACGCAGAGCTTGACTATGTGGGTAGTTAAAATTTGAAGTAAATTTCTCAAAACTACGAATATTTTGGTCAAATTATTGTAAAACTATAGATTTAAGGTGATATATCATAAAACAATAGATTTAATAATAAAATTATCACAAAGGGTTTAAATCCATAGCACTAATCACTAATGTTAAGTTTGCGTTATAAATGTCCAAATTTTGTGACTAAATTTATATTAAACCTATAGTTTGCGATAACTTTGTTATTGAATATATAGTTTTGTGATGTTTTAGATTAAATCCGTAGTTATGTGATAAGTTACATTTGTAGTTTTATGATACATCATATTAAATATGTAGTGTTGTGATAATAATGATCAAATATACAGGGTTGTTCCCACAAAATGGCTATCCCTCAGCAACCAAACCCTCCATTCCCCCATTCTCATCACCAACAATTTGGCCGGTCTGCTCGTCAAGACGTGAGCAGATTCAGAGAAAAATAGAGTATAATTCATGGATAATTTTGTGGCTGGCGCAAGACACTACAACTATTTTACTCCTAGGAATAATTAATATAATCAAAGTTAGGGTCCTTGATACCTCTTCCTCCACCAGCTCGGCCTCGTATGACCGACTTTATCTAGTTACAATAATTAAAACTTAAACGCGATGAAAAGTTCACTCACACCTAAAACACAAAACGACACACTGTGATGTGAACGGAAATTACGAAAGGTAATCTAGGCCACCGAATTGGGTATCCAGGACCTTCTTATCACACTTATAGCCAACGAAGCTATATCAAGTTTGAATTGTAAACTCCTCTGAAAATCTGAAGATTTGGCTACCCATTTTAGGTTTTGGCACAGCTCTGTTCCTACCCACGAGATGCAGAATCTTCAACAGAGATCGCTCTAACAAGCTTCTTCCACCTATCCGCCTCTAGCCCATCGCCCGCTGTCCTGCTCATGCCCCTTAATTGAGGAAAGGATGGATGTTGACATTTTTATTAATTAAAATGATCAATAATATCATATAAAGACTTGTGTAAAATGAGGTTAACCAATTTATTATGAATACAAAGCAGTGGGTAATACCAACCCAGCATTATTAATTTAAGCCTATCCATTTTATTAAAATATAATTGTGGTATCATGCAAGTTATGTACAGGGTCGTCCCATATATATAAATTGGAGTATGCTTTCTGAAGCTTTCATGCTACCCATTACACCGTTCTACAATTTTCTGAAGAGTAGAGACATCAAGTTAGGAATTAGGGTTTTTAGCTAATAAGCATATGTAGCATGAAGATCGAACGCGAGTTCCACATGGCCAAAGGGTATGGAGATTCCAGCTACGGCAAGAATTATAGGATTCAAGTTAGTTGCAACTCTTTCTTTTTGGACTGCTTTTTTTAACTACTTCCTTCCAGATCAAATCTAACCTATAGCAAATAAATAACTTGTAACAGTTTTTGAGAGGTATAATATAGGAATATACCACATCTTTATGTAGTTTTTGGTGTATTCCGGTACATTTCCGGTATTAAGGAACCGGGAGGTGTCAAAATTTAATACTTCACTTGTTTTTATAGCATAAGATGTTTTGGATTTATCCTCAGTCAAATTAATGCTTATGAAATTTGACTTATCAAATTTGAAAAAGTTTTATTTAGGGTAAACTGAAAACGACATATAATATGGGAAGGATGAAGTACTAAATTAAAATTATGTACCAATCTCTATGTTTTATGAGTACTAAAAATACTCTACAAACTAAATATTTATTTATATTGTCTTAATATGTGTCTCTTCATAAAAGTCTTCACCATTACCTGTGTATTTGTGAATTCCAACACTCTCTGTATATTTATATATCAAGTACATAACATCATATTTTATTCATGCTCTTCAAATTCATTTGATTACTTGTTCAATAAATTTATTGATTTGCCTCTATGTATGGCAGAGAAAAGCCATTCTTACAACTAAGGCAATGATTGAAAATGCCATTAAAGAAGTATGCACAGATCTTCAACCTCAATCGATGGTAGTTACTGACCTGGGCTGCTCTTATGGTGCAAACACACATCTTCTGATCTCAGAAGTAATCATGGCAATAAGCAATAAAAACGCTATGAACAATAGCACCATGGAGGTCCAGATATTTCTCAATGACCTACCAAGCAATGATTTCAACCACATCTTCCAGTCATTGGAGCAGTGCAAGCAGTCCATAGCCCAAGAATGCGCGAGCAGAGGTTTACAGCCACCTCAATACTACGTCGCTGGTGTACCGGGCACCTTCTACAACAGACCACTCCTCCCTTACAAGAGTGTCCATCTATTCCATTCATCATTCAGCCTTATGTTGCTCTCTAAGGTGATAAATGTTTGAGAACAAGCTTCTGGCAATGTATCTGGATGCACTAGCCCAAATTGTTTTTAATTTGCCGACGGGTCTACGGCAGTGATAAGCATATAATTTGACACTGACCTAACATTGGTGATCGCCATTGTTTTATTTCCACGGACAGGTCCCTGAGCATCTTGATAGCTGCATGAATGAAGGCGAGATTCACATAGGGACGAGTTTGCCACTTTTCGTGAGAAAACTCTACTTGGACCAGTTTGAGAAGGATTTCTCATGGTTCCTTCAGCTGCGGTTCAGAGAGCTTGTTTCCAGTGGCCAGATGGTGCTAACGATTCTTGGGAGGAAGAGCGATGACACGGTAAATAAAAACGGTCTCCTAATGGGGTTGCTGTCACAGGCTCTACGGAACCTTGTAAAAAAGGTACGGAGAGTGTGCTATCAAATTATTACCCGCACCAACCTAGAATTTGCACACGCATATTTCAAAAATGATTAACAAATAGAAAACTCAAGTTATTCAAGGGATTTTGAACAATCAAAAAAAATATCTAATATTGTTATTTTCCTCATGGTACAGTTAACAAAAAAAATGATCCAAGCCATTCCAATAATATTATCTTGATTATCACGAGTATATGTAAAATGTCTAATCTTTTCCTAACTCTATCTTGATTATCACTCTTATCTAATAATTATAGGAATTAAGAAGAGGTACCATCTGACTCTACTTCGTGCAGAGACTCTTCTTCCACTGATTGTTCTTTGCACAACAGGGTCGTGTGGAGAAGGATAAGCTGGATTCCTTCAACCTACCAATGTATCGTCCTTCGACAGATGAGCTGAAGCACTTGGTGCAACAGAGCGAGTTGTTTGATATCGTGGACATGCAGATCAGGGGCAGATTCCACTGCCTGGTGACCCTGGGCAGCGGCCTGGTCTCTTTGGGAAGACACCAATAGAATTTGGATGCCTTTTGATTAATTGGAAGCAAAATTTTCATAGCATACACTTGATGCAATAAAATTATTGATTTGCCATTGATCTAGGTCTTCACTATGAACACTGATCCCACGGACGACTCCGAATTGGGGGAAGCAACTGCCATCGCCGGACGTCGAGGCCAGTGGCCGTAGAATCGCCACGGGCACAATGGCAGTGCTGGAGTCCTTGCTCACGAGTCATTTCGGGGAGTCAATACACTGGTGGAGAAATCATCTTTGGTTGGTCCGGCAAAATCCACAATAGTCCCGGATCCAAAAAGAACCGGGAGTAAATATTGTTTTTAGTCCCGGTTATAAAAATTTTGATCTTTAGTCCCGGTTGGTAACGACTAAAGATGATCTTTACTCCCGGTTCATCCCCTGTCAGATGCATGTCAGGGAGCCGAGGAAGATCACCACTTTAATCATGGTTGGTACTACCAACCGGGATCTTTAGTCCCAGTTGATAGTACCAACCGGAACTAAAATTAAACACGTAGTATATAATCCCTATCCCTTGTCCTCTCCTCTACAGTTACAACTTAATAGATCGAATCTCACCCCCTCTCCTTAGATCTATCCTCTCTAACTCTCTTCTCCAACTCCTCCCCTTCCTCCTCTCCTCCCCCTTCTCTCCCCTTCCTCCTCCCCTTCCCGACTGGCCTCCCCTTCTCATCTGGCGGGCCGGCCGGCGGCAGGGCCGCGCGCTGCGGCGGCCGCTGGCGGGCGGCGGGGCGGCGCCCGGCGGGGTCGCGCCCGGCGGAGGGTGGCGGGCGGCGGGGCCGCGCGCGGCAGCGGGCGTGGCGGGTGGCGGCCGGCGGCCGGTGGGGCCGCGCCCGTCGTTCGTGGCGACCGGCGGCGGCAGCGGCATTCTTTTTTTTTTTAATTTGTGATGATTCACTGAGATGTATTTGACTGAGAAGTTACAAATTTGTGATTCATTGTTTAGATCTGTGATGTATTTGAGTAATTTCTTAGGATATTGTGATGTATTTGATTTGTGATGTATTTATTTGTGTGTATAAGTAACTTTGATTTGTGATGTAGATTTGAGATGTTACTTCGATTTGTGGATTGGGGGTTTGATTTGGGATATGTATCCCACTTGATTTGGGAGAAAATAAAAAAGAAAAAAAAGAAAAAGGGGATCATCTCACTGCCGCAACCCTCTCTTTAGTCCCGGTTGGTATCCTCTCTCTTTAGTCCCGGTTGGTGTTACTAACCGGGACTAAAGATCTATTTTTAGTCCCGGGTATTTGAACCGGGACTAAAGATAGCGATCTTTAGTCCCGGATTGGTAGTCCCGGTTTAAAAACCGGGACTACAGGGGTTGCCAACCGTGACTAAAAAGTATTTCTCCACCAGTGATAATTGACGAGCTCTTCATGGAGTTTGTGCGTAATGTCACTAGCCATATTGCGCATTCAAGGAAGATGAGACACAACACGGTCATCTCGCTGTCCTTGCGGCAAAGGTGCTAACTAATTAAGTGGCCAGCGGAATGAAGATCGTAGGGCATTGCTCAGAATTCAGTTTATATATATCTTCTTGTTGCTTTATAATGGAAGAATAATCATACAACCTTGGGAAATGCCGTTTACATTTGTAGATGAGATGTTGTATGGTTGCAGTTAAGTTCCTATGATTTTTGTGCTTTGTTTCCAGCCGAAAATTTGACAAATTGACCCTTTCATCAAACTTATTACAAGAATAGACCCTGTCAAAAACTAATTTTAAAAATGAGCTGTGACCTCAGCGTCATTGTGGTTGGCGCTGAAGTATGACGTCTCAGTGTCAAGATTTTTGGCATTAAGATATTGTTCGAGGTGGCACAAAATCGCCACGTCAGAAGATGTCAGTGCCAGCTGCCGTGGCGCTGACGTCTGTACTGACTAAGTAGTTTTGAAAGCGCAATTCAACATGAAGTTTGGCTTAGCTCAGTGATAGGTTCATGTGGTGGCATTATGGAGAGCATGGTTCGAACACCACCTCCTGCATCTTGTTACTAAACTCTTTTTCACTTATCTTTAGTTCTGCATTTTAATTTTCTTTTTCGAAGCTCAAGTATTATCTTTAGTTCTGTATTTTAATTTTCTTTTTCGAAGCTCAAGTATTTTTTAGTCCATTCTTATATTTTTAAATATTTACTAAATGTGTTACTTCTTTTAAATATTTTTAAAAATGTGGTATTTTTTTAAAAGTTCAAGTGTTCTTTTAATTTAAAAAACACGTGACATTTAAAATAACTCTTACCCTTAGTTCTCGACTTGTTGTTTAAATTTTCTTTTTAAAACCTCAAATTTTTTTTAAAGTATTTTTAAAAGTTGACTCTAAGTATTTTTTTAAATCTATTCTTCTATTTTTAAATTTGTATTGAATGTGATATTTCTTTTAAGTAAAAATTAATTTAAATAAAAAATATGTTATTTCTTTTATAGTTTAACTTTTTTTTAGTTTAATCAAAGCACATGACATTTTAAAATGAAAATAACAGAACAAGTAGAGCAAGTCAAGAGAGAATAAAAAGAAACTGGAAAACAATCGGCTAGTGGGATACGAACCTAACACCTTGCGATTGGAACACATAAGCATCACTACCAGGCTATGCACCCTAAGTTTGTAAGAACTTCCGCTGACCACATTTTATACTAAGAAATGTCAGCGCCAATGCACCTCACGCTGATATATCTTGACGTGCCGATTTCACCTCGGACAAGATGTTAGCGCTAAAATTGTTAACGTTGTGACATTATACCTCAGCGCCAACCCCAATGAAGCTGAGGTTGTGGCTTATTTTTGAATTAGTTTTTGACACGGTCTACTATTGTAATAAGTTTTATGAAAGGACCAATTTGTCAAATTTTCGGTTGTTTCCAGTACAAATAGATAAATGAGTGTGTATCTCTAGTGAGTGTGGGGTGCCAGTTAGTGTGGTCCTTGCTGTGAACCAAACAAGCTAGGCCTTCTTTAAAACCTTGAAGAACATTGAAAGTTTAGAGGATTTGTACTTTAAGCATGATTTATATATATCTATACATTTACATAATTTTTTTTAGAATAAGACGAATGGTCAAACATATGTTCAAAAGTCAACGGCGTCATCTATTAAAAAACAGAGAGGGTGTATAAGATATCATAAGATGCTCAATATATCTCATCTAGCTCCAGGGGAAACAAAGTCCAATTGAATGCAGGGCTGTGGACATTCAGTTTCCTACCGATATTAATTTCATAGAAACATGTGTAGTGGCCTACACTCCTTTTCTTGTTAAAGACTGGAAAAATGCTGAACGTACAAATTTATCTATACGCACCATCGTAAATTCGTAATACCTTTGGTGAATAATGCAAATAAGATGAAAATACTACTTCTATCTAGTTCACCAACTATATGCCTTCTTGCCATCCGCCCATCCCTAGAAAGACTATTATTAATTTGACACTACTATAAAACCCTTAATAGGTTCCGGCATATAGGTGCTTACGTTCAGCTATGTCAATGAACTTAATAAGCATGAGATAGAGGCACATAGGCTCCTCCCATGACGACACAGATCGGCGATGACGGTGCTAGCTAGCGGCTCAACTGGGGCTGGGCATAGTGAATTGGTCTTGCTTGTGTACCTCTTCATCTTACTAGTGTTGATTTGTGATGGATAGGGATGGGGAATTTTGTTGTTGATCTAACATCAGTGATGAATGGAATTAGGGGCTGCTCGAAGGGGGGCGTGTTGAGATGGTCGTTAAGTACTAATTTCGATAATCTATTGCCTCAATTGAAAAAAAAAAGGAAACTACCATTTCTTACACGCATATTAGTTTCTGTTGACGAAAAATCCGCGCTCGGCCGATGGTGCTAGGTCTGTGTTGTTGCGAACTAAGTCGACGAACAAAACGGCCAAGGAGATCTGTTTAGCTCCAGTGCAGGTTCAAAGGTTGATGTGATGCGGGCGTGCCAGTCAATTTGATCCTGCAACTGATAAGATATACAAATATTTTTTTAGAATTTTTTGTGATAATTGCTAGTTGGCGTGCATGGAAAACTTGTGTGTACATGATATGCTCCCTTCCATATATGCATGTGTTGACGAAAAAATTGAACACACCGGGCTGAGAGATCTGCTTAGCTCCTGTGCAGGTCCAAATCTTGATGAGATGCGGACGTGCCAGTCAGTTTGATCCTGCAACTGACAAGATATGCAAATAGTAGATCAAAACAGCCGATCGGCTGACAAGCCGATGGAGTAACTCCAGCCGATAACAGATAATAACCGATGCCGATACCAGCCGATAGCGATAGGGTTTAAGCAATCGACTATATGTTCAATGTAGATAATGATATAAAGGCAATCGGCTGATGATGATGTAATAAAATAACAATATAATCTAGTATAAACCAATCGGCAAATAATGATATGATAAATAAGCATCAATCCGAAGGTTAAAGCACACATCGGCTGGAGGTCCGATGTCACGAAATCCACAAGATTAGATTAAACAGTGAAACCTTTGTTGTCATCGGTTAAATCCAATTTATATGTATATGCAATCCTTATGAGCCGATGCAACGTCCAGATAACTCACCGGCTGAAACCCCGATGAAACCCTTATTGGCAATCAAGAAGCAGGCTAGAGATTATGGTTCTAAGGACGACTTAGTAGATCAAACTTAACTGATGCAGCACTAAGTATGAAAAGAAACATAATATCTAGACAATCAAGCCGTTGATTGATTTTCAGGGTGGTAGATGCCTAGACTAATCTAATCTAGCAAGGCAATTTAGCCGATACCGGCAGAAACCCTAAAGCAAGAGACAACCGATAGAGCTAGATTGAGATGCTAGGACTAGATTAACATAGACATATGATAAATAGCCATGCAAATATATTATCCAAACTACAGTAATTCAAGAGGTCGAATGTCCTGATACATCTTGAACGACGCCGACGTAGACGATACAATTGCCTGGACCGGCGGAACATTGCACTTATCCTTTCGCCGGAGATCGAAGACGATGCAGCCCCGCGTCGGGTGCCAAGTTCCGCCGGAACGTAAAAACA